AGCCTGACGACCTTGTAAACTGTCCCTTGTCCCTCGAGCTCAATTATACGATAAGCAGTCTTCTTAACCTGCTCTTTATTGCTCTTCTCTTCTTGTTGCTACTGCTCCCCAGCTACCATGTGACTAACTAGCACCACAACTTGCAGAAACGAGATACTGGGTTGGTCTTCAGGGCTCTCAGCCCCACAAGCCAGGCAAGAAATAATCCAGATTAGCTGCATGGCAACCGAAAGCGGGTCTGTAATCTTCATCGTGCGGATCAAAACCCGTTGTGCGCTCAGGCTACCTCTGGCTACGTTGGTAGTGCTCCTGTCAAACTATTCGGTTATCGCCACCAGTCTTTCATTGTGAATATCAGGGTTCGTGTTGCTGCTGCTGCTGCTGCTGCTGCTGCTGATATGGCTATTTACCAGCTGGGGCAGCGGACACAGGTGTGAGCACCCGTGCTTCCTACTCCTATTCTTGGGATCTGGAATCGCTAGCATCGCCTCGCGCATGAACAGGCGGCACGCCCTGAACCCGAATCCTCAACACAAACCCAAGAGGACCCGAAACGTTCAGTAAGCACAAACCCCCAACCTCGCGACCGGAAATTCTGAACCCCTACAGCCTACAGTAGGTAGGGCCTAGGCTCTCCACCCAAGACTTTAAAGCCCTTCTGTTGCTGAACCGCCGGATTCAACCGTAACAAACCTGTAAGCCTTCAGACTCAGCCCTTAAGATCCAAATCCACATGCCCCCAACAATCCCCAACCCTTTAGTGTAAACCCTGCAGACGATTTTAAGGAGCCCTTAAAAGAGCCAGGACTTCCCCATCTCTTGCGATGTGAGCTCGGCAGCTTTGGGTATGGAAGCACGCCTTTTGATGTCTGTAGTTCTTTGGTGGTGCAGGGTTTACGCTCTCACAACTCGTGGTGCAGGGTTTAGGGCTCTAGGTCTCTAGCGCCTGAGGGTTCCCATGTAAGGCCATGGAGGCCCTGGGTTCGATTCGCACACACGCTCAAAGGCAGGCACAAATCCAGAGGTCGCCACGATCGCTAGGGTTCGCAGGCTCTTCGGCTCAAGGGGCAAGATGTGGGCTTCGGCTTCAGCTTTGGTTCTGGATTCAGCTTGAAAACCCCCCTTAACATCCAGAGCCCTTCGAGGCTGGGCCCCGGTGCCTGTACCCCCGAAGAGAGAAGTCGAAGATGTGACCAAAAAGGTGAGTGCCTCTGAGACCCCGGCGCGACGGCCTCGCACAGCTCCTCGTCCTTGATCAGAACCTAAGCGTCTCCGGTGGCAGAAAGCCGTAGCAAAAAACAGTGGCAAAAACGGTCACAAGAATAGTTGCAATAAGCTTAACAGTCAACAAAGTGGCAGCAGTTGCTTAGTTGCCGCTGCTCAGCAGCAGTAACAGTCGTCGTTCTCGCGGTCGCGAACGCGGCACGGTCGTGGTCGTCAGCGTTTTGGCGGTGGTAATGGTAACACTGGAGGCCATGGCCCCGCCAGTGGCAGGGAAGCACTGTTCACTGGTAGTAGTCATAGCAGCAGCGAGGATTCGGATGGTCGTGGGTTGTAGGTTGTGGCGTGTTGAGAAGCCCTGTCGGAACCGTTGCGGGCAGTGGGTTCACCAGATCTGAGAGCTCATTTCGTTCTGTTTATACAAAGGACACTTGCAGCGAACATGACCGCCTGAAGCTCCCGTCACCGCAAGCTGTCACTTCGTTGTCTCATCTAAAGGAGCTTTGAAGACATCTCCCTGCGGCTACGACTGAAACAAGCACTCAGAAGGCCACTGCCTGCAGGATCGCCATATCCACACTGAAGCATTCCATCCACGAAGAATAGTATTTCTCTCGCCTCTTCTCTCTCTCTCTCTCTCTCTCTCTCCCGCACTCTCTCTCCCTCTCTCTCTGTGCGCGCCTTCGCGAATGCCCAGACGCTGTTCGAGAGCCCCTGGACCTTAGATTTGCGGGTCGCCTGGGGTACATTGACCGTCAGAAACGGTTCTGTTGTGGCTCAGGAGCACTATTTCTGCTGCTCACATGATTGACACGGGTTTCCATGATTGGTAGTACTAACTACCATTCCTGATTGTCGCTACTACCCTCTTGCTTCTCCTTAAACCTGGAACCCTAATTCTTTATGTAAACCCGAAAACAACAAAAACGCTGTGGCGCGCTCTTCCTGCGAAGCAAAGATCCGCAAGCAGGCCCAAGGCCCTCTCGGCTCTGAGGGCTCCGCAACTTCCGCTCTTCGGAAGTGCCAAGGCCCATGGAAAGGAACTTTGCTGCTGAGGGGTTTTTTTTTGCCTCTTGGTTTGGGATCTCCGGCGTTATAAGGCTTAGGACTCAGGATGTACAGGTGCAGGATTAGGGCTGAGCAGGGCCGAGGGTGTTTGGGTGTAGGGCTTAGGATCGCGGACTTTAATGCGTTTTTTGATTTATGACCGGAACTAGGAGGTGAATCATGCCGCATTTTAGGGTTTTGGTATGTCGGGTTCTGCTTCTGAGGCGTGCCGCTGGTATGCTGGTGTGTGACCCTCCTAGCCCTTTACCCTAAACCGGTCTGCAGCGACTCTACCGGGAAAGACTTGTATCCGCGCCCTAAACCCTAAACATCCCTAAACCCCAAAAGCCTAAACCCCGCTACGATGAACCAGGGAATGTCCCAGGACCTTGAAGCCTGAAAAGATCCCAGATGGCAGGGCCCCTCAAACCCACAAAGCCTAGTTCGCTGTGAGGCTCCGGCTTCACATTCTGACTTGCAGGTTCCATTCCAGGAGCTCTCGGGTCTGTTGTATCTTTATTCGGAGAGAGAACTGAGGTTCACGGTCGCGCGTCGATTCGTTAAGACACGATTCCTCGATAGCTCCGCCCAGGAATTGGAAACCTCGCTCTCTCATGTTCCTGTGCAACGAACTACACTCTAAGCAGTCGGTGAAACCCCCCTCGTGTTGAGGGTCTAAGTTGCTCCGGGCGCAGAACAGGCGCTTCCAACGCCAACAAGATAAGACCATTCAGCCCAAATTAAACCCGACATCTAGCTACCTTGAGAGGATTTCGCGGCTGCTGGAAGGTTTGGTCGGCGGCTTCGCCCAAAATCACGAAGCTAGGATTTCGGAGTCACGTCCGCATGGGTCGTTATCAGCTTGCAGCCTTCCGCCTCCACCTGCGGGCTCCCGAAACCGCCGGGACAAAGGTTTGATTTCGGGGTCTCGTAGGGCTGTAAGGCATGGCGCCTTCAGGGATCTTGTGGAGAGCTTGATTAGAGTTCCGAGAGTAGCGGTGGAAGGGCCGACACGCTCCCGGTTCTTGGAACAGAGAGCCGGTGAGCCAAAAATAACCGATAAACTACCTGCATTATGTGCTGTCAAACAACCTCGGAACCAAGGCCCAAGCCAGAATAATCCTCAAGCCCAGATCAGCCCCAATCCAGGTGCCTCTAAAGTCACATCACTCAACACCGAGCACCCAGGCGGCAAACCCTCATCCTATGTAAATCCCTAGCCCTTTAGACCCTAACTCTAGGAACAAGACCTGGCGAGGTCCCTTTCCGAGCAAGCACTCCGAGTGAGAGGTCGCAAGAGGCGGCCCAGGTCCTGGTGGCTATTGAGGTTTAGAACTTTTGTTATTTGGGTTCAGGAGTTGAGATTTAAGGTGTCACTCGGTCTTTCTCTGCCGTGCCATCTCACGGGCGTCGCTTAGTAAGGGCACGAGACAGACGCCAGAGTGCCCCAAATCCTAAAACCTCTCTCCTCCGTCCAGGGTTTGGGGTTTAGGAGTTCTGCGAGAGTATTGCTTAATGCAGTTTTTGGGCGGTTTGAGGCTTTTGTTTGCTCTCCCATTCCGAGGTCGAGCCCTCTAACCCGTGGAGAAAGAAGTAGCTTTCTGATGAGTAGTTAACCGTTTACTGTGTACAAAAACATGCCGCAAGGCCTAGGTTTAGGATTCGGGGCCTGGGACCTTGCAGTGGTTGGTTCGGGCTTCTGCCGATGCATACTTCGGGCTTTGATGTTCAAGCATTGCCTTCCATGCAAATCCAAGCTGAGCTTCAGCACAAACCAGGGCTGCCGAGGTCTCAGGTGCAAAGGCGGAGGACTTCAGGATTGGATCTCCAATTAGGATTTCGTGGTTTCTTGAGGATGATGGGAAGGCTTCGGACTTCGGCTTTATGCTTGGGGGTCACTGAAAAAGGCCACTTAGCACGGCTTGTTGGAAGCGATTTTTCAATAACGACGGCATCCTTGCTGCCACCCCAGAGCTCGTCCGTCAATTTCAGCTTCGATGTAGGCCAGCCTTTGTTTGCCGCGAGTTCAAACTTGCAACAGCCATGCCAAAGGTCCAGAGGTGAGCCTAGGGCTTGCTAACAGATTTGTTGAGGTGATCCAGCAAATGATGGTATCAGGATCGAGCTTTAGACGCAGTCTTGCAAAAGGCACTGTAGAACTAGCTATACTAAGCCGTGAGGGGTGCACATGGCGTTCGGACGCCCTCAAACACTACCGTTTTATCGCCTGCATTCAGCACATCAACGACCTGAGAAAACCATGCCAAAGTCTGGCGCACGCCGTCTTGTAGGGAAGGGCCGGCTGGATCGCAGAGTGTGACGGTCACCATGAATCAAGAATGCCACGGACAACTGCTGCTCCATACCCCTACACGCTCGCGGAAGAAACACGATTGCGGCCCGCATCGGTGTAACCTTCTGAGTCCAGACTCTGATACACATCGGTACAACCTAAACCATAAGCTTGATCATCGAAAAACGTTAAAACCTTGAAGTGACTCGGGGCTAAGCAGCTGCTGGCTCGAGAGTTCTGTCTGAGAGGCTCGTCGATTCACACAGCTTCCCGTTAACGCCTATGCTGTGGCTCGAGACATCAACCCCCAACCGCCAAAGAGCCCTCATACGAAGCTCTAGGACACCGTTTTCGCCGAAGCTCAAGGGCAGTGGAAAGCTAAAAAAGGATCTACTACCCGAGACCCAACATGAACTCCCCCAGTCCCCTAACCCGAAAGCTACCCTTTCGGGCCTCCTTTCCCTGGCTCCTGGGGTTTGAAAGGGAAGCTCAGGTCGCTCTTGGGCGGCGGAGCCGGGATCCTGACCGCGATTTCACCGGTAGGATGTTAGGATCTGAGGCTGAAAGGTTTGGGGCTTGGGTTTCGGGGAATTCAGGTTCTAAGTTCTGAGGCTTAGAGTTTGATGTTCCGTGTTCTTCGTGACGTTATGGTTTTTGGTGTTTGAGCCGGTGGATGTGAGCCGTCATGCAAGGTGCAAGGTTGAATCATGTACACAGCTTCCCGGCTGCAGACTTGGCAATAGGGTCCTAGTTTCTTGCTCTCTCTAAGTTTCAAAGCTTCAGCGTAGAGTTTCAAGATTCGACTGGCATAGGAACCCCGCCATTGCCTACCAACCCCCCCCCCCACTCTCGGAACACTGTAGCCGGCAGGGCTGCGGTGGAAGTCAAGCCGTTGAGTGCGGGATCTCTCTCATTCGGGACTCTAGGTAGGGTACAGAGTTTCGGACGGGAGGTCCCTCTGAACCCAAACCCGTAAACCGGAAGAACCCGAAGACTTCTAGAAATCTTCGGATTTCAAGGTCCTGACTGCTCCCGGGTCCGGAAAGTCTGAGACCCTGAAGCCCGTGATGAAGCTTGAAGACCAGACAAAAAAACACAGAGACAAGCCCCGACACCCTCAGTTTGATCTTACATGCGGCAGACTCAAGTTCGGCATCAGCGCAGTCAAGCCTAAAAACCTTCAGGTTTGCGGGCTTCAGTACGGCTTCAAAGGTTTTCGGTCGAGGGCTTTCATTACCCCAAACCCTGACAGCGTCCTCGCCCGGCCCTCGGCAATCAGCAGCCACCTTCTATCACATACGGGTAAGCAAGACGCTTCTTTCAGCAGGCTTTGTGTGACTGCACCAAGACGCCCACTGGAAGCGCCTCCACTGTAAGAGTACTGCTCACGGTATCATGTCACAGTCGAGGGCTCAGGGTAAGGTTTAGGGCTGTGCGCATGCAAACCCAGCGATGCCAGCAGCAAAGCAGAGGGCTCTCAGGGCTCGTGCTCATGTTGAAATTTTTTATGGTAAGGATGTAGCATCTGATGCCCGTGATACTCGGCATGCTTGCTTTTTCCAAAGACCACTGAACAGCCTGTCTTGTATCGAATCGCACCTAGCTGGCAGCAACTGGTGCCCATGGTGTTCGCTTGAGGGTTGTTTCCTCTAGCAACCACCGCGACAGGGCCAGGGATGCTACCGTCCTCAATCCCTGGAGCATAAACCGCTGACTCGTCACACCCCTAGCTTCTACCTACGATACCAAAGCCAAGTGCAGAGATGCCGGCTTAATCGAGGTGGAATCTGGAAACGCTTTACACAAGTTTAGAGCAGCGCTGTCCAACAGCCTCTCACACAGCCTAGAGAAAAGCGCCATCAACTTGCGGAAGTCTGCCCTTCAGGCCCCCAATCCGACGCCTCTTCAACAGAGCCTCCCGTCTATGGAAAAAGACTAGAAACCAGATAGAAATTGGAAGATTTCAGTTGCTCAAGACAATAACCAGAAGACAACAAAGACACACCAACAAATCGACACCGCACCGAGATACAATCAAAAATCGCACGCCGAGCAGCTGGGGCAGGTCCTCGGCCGTGGGCGGCGAGGAGGCCAGTCGGCCGGTGACCCGACTCGACGAGGCGCCTCGGGGGCTTGGGGCTTTTTGAAAAGAGAACGGCTGGGGTTACTCTATACGGGGTACCCACTTTCTGTCCGGGTTCCATGGAGGAGTTTTTTTTGCCTCGCACCTGGCTAGGGCGAGGGCTTAGTCAGAGATAATATACTTGAAAAGGGGTTTCAGGGTTTAAGATAGGGACCTGGGTGGTGTTGGTCACTGCAAGGATTCGGCGGCTTTCGCTCTCTTGCTGTCACACCCGAAAAGGGTCCTCATGCTCACTTTCCCGCCGGGGGTCTTTTTTCGCGCCCGATTTACATCCTCAAGGTTTGACAAATCTAACGTCGCGGGCAGACGGAACAAAAGAATCTTTAAGTAAGGCCAAAGGAGCAAAAGAATCTTGAAGGATGCAAAAATAACACCTAACCGGCCCGTCCAAGGCTTTTTTCGCGCCCTGGCTTTGGGGGTCTAAGGCCGAAGGAACAGAAGAATAAAGAGACATAGGACAGGGAGAAGTGATGAGAAAGAAAGAGAGGGTGTCACAGGTGAAAACAAAGAGAGAAAAAAAAAGGACACAAAACGAGAGACGGAGGGAAACCAAAAGGGACGGGGGAAAACAGAGGTGAGAGAAAGAAGACAAAGAGGAAGAGAGAAAGAGAGACAGAGAAACACAGCGACAGGCAGACAGAGTGACCGGAGAGACAAAGATACAGGGAGAGAGGAAGAAACGCATGCTACGCCTTAACAACCCAAACCCCCACACCCCCAAAGATCCTACCTCCCAAAACGCACATGGCCCCAAACAATACCCCTCCCTCTCGCTCTCTAAACCCCCAAAAACCGCGCGACTCCCAAGACAGTTCCACTCGATGCATGCTTGCGCCCAGCTGCCCGCAGTCGCCCAGGCGGCAGAGTAGGAGTGGGAGCTCAGACTCTGGGAGGCCTCTGCAGGCTCAGAGTTGAGGGCCTCAGGGGTGCTTAGAGGGGTTCTGTAACTTCACAGGGGTCGTAGGAGGCTGTCAACAAGGTAGGACCAGTTAGGGTCTGCATTTTAAGTTTAGGGGAAGGTTTACAAGCTACAAAGTGTACAGCTGTTTCTGCCAGCTGGCACAAATGCATGAAGTAGGACCCCCTCAAAAATTGAGAAGTCGTGCCTGCTGCCCTATCGAAACCTTAGCCGTATACTTAGCCTTCTACAAAGGAACACTAAGACACCCTTACAAAAAGCCTCGATAATCCCTGCACACGCACTTGCGCAACGCAGGCAGCCAGGTATAACCCCGATTTCTGCATGTCTTGAAACCCGACAACCCGTCGCCTGGGTCAGCCCCGGAGCAGACGCGCTTTTTTCCATCGGCCTCGGAAGACAAACTGATGCTTTTTTACATACTTGTGCCGGCCTAGCTCACGGGTTTCCTTTTCACATGCGTAATTTACTCTCCGGAGCGTAGGTTTCACGATTTCACACACACAGACAAACAGTTTGATCGAGGGCCTAGGACCAGTGAAACCCAGCGAAGATAGAAGTTGCAAGTCGTGTACTGCAGACTGTCTCCAAACTTCGGGAAGTGAGATACATTATGCTCCAACAGACCCCTAAAAGCCAATGAAACACCAAAACCCACCACGTGCATCGACGTTCAACTAGGGTTGGAAGCACTGATTACTGGGCGAACCAGAGCCTCCAAAAAAACCATGGTGAAGCGTTTGAGACCACCATAAAAATGGAAACGAGACCTCCTAAACGACGCCTCTCGGCCGTCATTTTGTCCTCGGCTGTAAGAGCTTAGCCCCAGATAAACCCTCAGGCCTTCAATGCATCCTCATTCGGCCAAGGCGCCCGGTGGCCGAAGGCTCGGAGGGAGGCGACCTCATGGTGCTTCCATGCATCGCGGTCCCGGCAGCGACATGACTGCCAGGGATTTCCTGAGGCCGAGGTTGCTAAGTTCCTCGTGAGTTTGAGGCCAAAGGGCATCCGGGCAAACCTGGAGAAATGCGCGTGTCTCGGCAAGAAGTTCGTCTGTTGCTCTGGCGGGGAAAACATAATCTTGCAGCCTTCTTCTATGCTTTCGGTGCAGAGGCTCGCCAATTTGTCACGACTCACGAAGGCTATCTCCCTGTGCCACAGGAGAGGCGGCCGTTTGCGTGTAAGGAGGAGTTCAAGTCAAGGCTACCTGTAGACTGTAGAGTTCAAGGCTTTATCTCGGCGCTCGTGAGGAGGCCATACCCAGCAGTCTCCAAGAACCTTATCCGAATCCTTTCATGTTACACACCCACCTCAAGACTAAAACACCAGGCAGACCCTGGCCCCTGCTGCAGCTCCGCATCCCCTAGCTCAAACCCCTAAGCCTAAGAACCTGCTACTCTTCAGTGAAAGCAAGCCCGACACTGCCGCAACCTTAATCCACTTCACCCTGAATAGAGCCCGAATCTTGACGACATCCTCATGCCCAAGGCACACCACGTGCCCGGCCCTCAAAGCGCTTGACTCGAACCCGGCGGTCTCGGGCCTCCCGCACTTTCTGTGTAGGCTTTGGGTAAAAGGAGACCCTCTTTAGCCCAAACCGAGAAAAAGAGATGCAAGAGAGGCCTGGGCTCGCTTTGGCTCTGCAATCCTCCGAAGCCTTCACCCGACAACTCTACAACCACAGAGCCCTGAAGCTTTCTGGGGCGGTCCTACCTCGAACTTTACGCTCCTTCTGTTTCGCTATGCCCACCTGTGGGTTTGAACGGGTAGCATGAGCCCTGGTGTCAGCCGGTCCCTCACAACCGCGAGCCCTACCTTCATGAGACACTACGACCCTTCGACGGGGACAAACATGCAATGCATCGGTAAAGAAGCATTTCAAGGAGCTCCTTACATGTGCATGGAAGCCTTGCCCGTCTCACACAACATCTAGCATCCTGCCGCCCAGGCCGCCCCCTGCCTTGTTGTGCGCAAGTCTTCGCTGGGACTGGCGACAGGGCACTCATTCTTGCGGGCTGGGCTTGGGCTTTCTGTGGGCTGAACAGCTTCGAGCCCAAAGTAGGATCCAGGGCATCATCCGGAGTACTTGGCTTCGGCAGCTTGGTACCTTTTTCCATTGGTTTAGGAGTTTGGGGCTATGGCTTCACGGCCTAGGGCTTCGGTTGGGCCTTCTGCCTGGACGGTAGTATGGCTGCGGTATGACGTGGTTGGAAACAAAGAGTACGGCCTAGGGCACACAGGCTAGCATTTGGAGTGAACATGCGTTTGGTCGAGGGTTTTAGGGTCCAACTTTGGGCTTCACGCCCAGGAGTTCACTGCAGGAACTCGACACGCGGTCCTTCGTGGTTTTCATGAAGTCCGGCATCTGGTCCTGCGCCTGCGCAAGGCGTCGCGGAGCTGGGCCAAGTCTTCCCCACTCCCCGGCTGAAAATGTCTTGACGAATAGCTTCCATAGTGGCTGCTGTAAATCCTGAATCCGGAACACTGCCATGGGAGCATCCCGAAATTCAAAAATTTGCTGGCACGACCGTGCCCCCGGTGTCCCCCAAAAGGTTCCTCTGAAGGTCGCTCTACAGCACTGTCCCAGATAACCAGTTTTGTGGGGTTGAAGGTCTCGGCATGTTGTCGGGCCCATAAGGTAGCGACTCTCACGGCTCGCAGGGGCAGGCAAGCATCCACAAGTCTGGGGTAACACTGAAAGACTACAACGATCCAGTACACGGGCGGCTCCACACAACACAAACCAACCCAACTCCTGAGACCATGCGCACCATGAATCCAAACACTAAGCATGAAGCACGGCCATCCCACGCACTGACAAAGCTCGTGGCAAAGACCGCAGCCCAGTACATGTCAATGAAGACTCTACCCAACCCCAGCCTAACAGCGACACCGCTACAAGAACATACTGGACTACCTACTCCTGCACGTTCCTCAAGAAAAAGTTTTGGGCACTCGCATCCGACGGACCATCAGCTTCACAGAATCCGGACCATCCTTCTCGCAGCCGGAATCGGGCATGAAACCAATACAATACCACTGTCAGCCAACTCAGCTCACCGAAAATAACTGGCGGGCAGCTAGCGAGAAGGGAGAGTTCTCCTAGGTCTCCATCGATAAGTGTCGCGCGGCACCACCAGATCCTACGCCTCAGCGCAGTGGTCCACGGGGCAGAGGGCCCAGTCATCGCAGTGTCACCGGTGGACTCCATGCGGCAAACATCTCACTATGCATTTTCCATCTTGAAAGAAGCTGGGCCTACAAGCATGGCCGATTGCCAGGAACGACCGAACCTTATTCCCTGCATCCCCTTCCTCGACGATGATTCGCATATACAGTTCGAGTGAACTGGGCCAGAAAACGACAACCCTGGTAGACCGAGGCTTCAGTGCCGGAGCCAACAACTTATGCAGGCTTCGCTCGCGGACCACAGGCGGCCAGGCCAAATCCAGGACAATGCTTACCAAGGTAACAGGATGCAGTCTCAGAGAGAGGCTCAGTCGTTCTCGCCACCGATGCGGCCCACGCTAAACCAGAGGTTCGGGTTCTCGTGGAAGACCATGAACTGCCTGGCGAAATCATAACACTCCTCGTTCGTGGGAGTCGGAGGCAGCGGAGGCGGCGGAAGCAGCTCTTCATCGGTGCGCTCTTTGATCTGTCGGGCCTCCTTCACCAAGGCAGCTAGCAGCGGAAAATCGTGCATTACCTGGTGCATAGCCGCCAACAAGTCTGCAGGGCAGCCCTTCAGAAGCTCCAGGGTCAGCGCTGTCGCCAGGGACAGGTGCACCGCCCTGTCTCTTGTCTCCTTGTTCGAACCGAGCCCCACAGCACTCAGCATGCTGCCGTCGAAGAACTTAATCGAGGCGACTGCGGACCAGGTCTCCGATTGCCAAATGCCCTTGGAGTGGAGCCGTTCCAGAATGGGGCATGTATCCTGGTAGGTGTCAACCCGCTTGATATCCTTCCGGCTCAGGCGAACTATCGACAGCATCGCATCCACCACGTTGCAAGCGAGCCGGCCCAGCTCCGACGATCTCACGAGTCGAAGGCAGATCAGGCGAGACGGGTCACGCAGGAAGTACAGAAGCGAACAGAAGCGGCTCCTCTGTCTGGGGTGGTCTTGACACCGGCTGTGCCAGTGGTTCCGGGACCGCAGCAGGGCGTGCTGGCAGGGACCGCAGGCCGTCCTTTTCCTGGTAGCCGACAATGCCGCTGGCGCCGAGGGCGACTTTGATAAGGCACCCCCCTTCAATGGGGCCGCCAGGGACTATCTCCAGGACGTTGACGTGCGACCCGCGTGCGAAGCCGAGTCTGGCATAGTCGTCAACAAGCAGCTCGGCAAGCGCATCGACGCTGAAGGGAACGGAACTCGAAGCCATGGCTCGCACCCGCTGGAGCTCAAGGCTTAGTTGTTGTTGCGCTGTGTGTTGAATGGATTCCGACTTGCCAGCGGCACATTCCGACTTGCCAGCGGCACTAGCTGCTGCCTCAGCATCTACATCGTGCGTTCGGCAAGACCGGCCTGTCTCACGACCTCCTAGGCTTGGCAGGGTGGGTTTGGGGTTTGGCATACAGCTACATGCTGAAGTCATTGAGACCCTTGGGCAAGCCTTCGCTCCTTGAGCCGCGCTGTACGACTCAACTAATCGTCAAGGCAAGCACGTCCCAAAAACTGTAACCACGTGTAAGTTCGGCTTAATGCAAGGTTTTGGGTCCAGAAGATCTGGCTTCCAGGATGCGGGGCTTCCGGCCTCTTCCTCCTCATCATCCTCGTCAAGCTCCGCGGTGGCAAGCCACGATGTTGTGGCCCAGCTCAAGTACTTGGTCTTGTCCGTGTCTAGCAGCTCGAACCTTTGAGAGAAGTGTAGATCGTGATTGCTACTCCTGTTTCTGCTCCCTTTGCATGCACACCTGTCATCACCAGGAGTACTGCGTCCAAGATGTTGTCCTGCAAGATGCTTGACACTACACTGCTGTTTGTACTCGATCCACGCCTCACGTGGCCAGGTCGCAAAGCATACCAGACTGCAAGGAGAATGAGCCCCCTCCAAACGGTCCCGTCAGTGACGAGGGGCAAAACATCCACGTCTCCATCAAAAGCGATCCTGGCCAATCGTTCAGGGCTCAGGCTACGGACTGTTCGGACAAGCCTTGGCTACGAGGACTTAAAGACTTAAGGCCAAAGCTCGAGGCTGCTGGGCCTTCGGGCTTCTGAGAGCATGAGTTTGGACCGGGGGCGGTGTCGGGCAGACGGGTGCGACTGGAATCAAGGACTTAAGAGTTTGCGTTGCTGCAGCTTCCACATGGGAGCCAACAGAACAGGATGGGGCTGACGGTCTCGAAATTTCTCACAGAACACACATAGGTCGAGCAAGACCGAGGCTAGGTGCCGAACTTATCGGATTAAACACTTGTGCTTTGGTGGTGACAGCCTCGAAATCTCTCTCACATAGATCTCTCTCTGCCGCTGCATCAAGATGCACCGCGTGAGCACAACATCCGTCCAGTTAAGCAAGCTTGAAACTATTGAAACTACAGTAACACAGGTTTAACACAGGCCGCATAAAGTATAAGGCAGGATCTGGGGAGTGCAACGCCGGTGCTTTGGGGCTGACGCTTTCGAAATCTCTCCCACACAGATGTCGAGCAAGATCTTGGGGAAAACGAACGTGCTTCGTGGCTGACGGTCTGGAAATCTCTCTCACATGGAAACATAGAGGTTAAGCAAGATCGTCGAAAAGATGGGGGTAAAGGCATGAGATTTGGGGCTGACGGTATCGGAACCTTTCGCAGCACATAGATGTCGAACAGCTCGGGGTTAAACGCTTGTGCTTCAAGGCTGGCGATCTCGAAACCTCTCGACACAGAGAAGATGTCAAACAGGATCGGAGTGACGCTCTAAAAGCCCCTCGCCACATACCGGTGTCGAGCAGGATCGCGCCGAACGCTTGCGCTGCTTTGGGGCTGAGGGTCTCGAAAACTCTCAGATGTCGAAAAGTAAACGCGAATGCCTTGGGGCTGACCGTCTCGAAATCTCTCGCAACGCACAAATGTCGAACAAGATCGGAGCAAACGCTTGTGTATCTGTAGGGCTTTCGCAGCACACATACTATATAGATAGAGCGAACAAGACCAGGGTTATTGTCTGCACTTTGGGGCTGACGGTCCCGAAATCCCTCGCAACACTTAGATGTCGATCAGCGTTGGGGCACACACATGTGCTAAGGCGCTGGCAATCTCGAAATCTCGAAGCACATACAGTAGAAGCCAAAAAGTTGGAAACCCAATAGCCTCAATCCTTAAGAGTAATGTATAAGGAATCCCAGCACTATTTGTCCTTAATCAGGTTTCCAACTTTTTGGGGTTACTATAAATCCCTCCCAAGGTGCCACCGAGAATCAGGGCGCAGGCATCTCGGAATTCCGAAAGCCGCACGCGGTCGTCCCCCCGAATGTCCAGAAGCTCCGTCCAGAAGGACCTCCAGGATTTCGTGTCTCAAAGCTCTCGGACTGTGCTGCACGTAGAAGTCCCATAAACCCTAAACCCTAAACCCCAAGCCCTAAACCCTAAACCCTAAACCCTAAACCCCTACACCCCTAAACCCTAAACCCAAAGTCCCAAAACCCTGAGCCAAGGCTCCCCACACCCCTTGATCCCCTGAGCCATCGTCGCATTTTTCCGGCCTCCAGGTGCCCGAGAAGGCCAGGGCCATGTCAACGAAGGCCTTCCCGGCATTGCTCTCCAAACTTCACGCACATGGGCTTCGGGGATTATGGTTTAGGTTTAGGGGATTATGGTTTAGGGGGGTATGGTGTAGGGTTTAGGGTTTAGGGCTCAGGGTTTAGAATCCCCTCCCGCATTGCTCGGACAAACCTGCGACGCAGGTACATCTTCAAGCTGCTCAAGGGGTTGGGTTTAGGCTTTAGGTCTGATGGCTTTTGTTTAGCATGGCGGGCGTCGGCTCTAACACTCACACAATTACAATGCAGGCAAGGCTCCGTGACAACTTGTCCGATCACTACAGCTACTCCTTGCGAGATGTTGGCATTTATTTTGCTTCATCAACCCAGCTACTTCAAAACACGCCATACACTCAAAGTGCATGAAAAATGCAAGGCCTTCAAAAGCTCGGCTGTCGGCTCATCCAGCTCCTCTGCACCAAAGCGATCCAGGTTTACATGTTTCATGGGAACCCAAAAAAACAAACACATTCCAGACCTGCGGCATCTGCGCATGTATGCTCGCGCATATGTACCCGTCTAAAGCTTGAATGAAAAATTGACTGTCTTTCTGCTACTAGTAAGAATCTATCGATGTTGTCATAGTCAGCTGCGTAGTTCTGGGCTGTTGTGTACATACAAGAATATTAGGCATGACATCCGTACCGAATCTTGAAACCACAGAATCACATCCATGTGTTCAATGTATTCATATAAACCTGCGTGAAAAAACTCATCTATCCATCCTTCCATCCCTCCATCCACCCATGCCTGCCAACCCTAAAACCTCAAACGGCCGAGAACCAGGCCTGAACATTTGCTACCTGGAATAACCCTTGATCCTGAAAAACCCGAAACCGGAACACCCAAACCCAAAGGCGCAAGAGAGCCTGGAAGCCTTCTCGCCGAAAAGCTTTAGACACCCTAAAGGACCCGTTAAATGTCCAAAGAGCAAAACTGCGACCTAAGCCCTGTATACACAGTATACCCAAAAACCCCGACAATCGCTGAGAAAGCATGAAAACCCTCTGGGAAATCCGAAAAAAAACACAAAAAAGCACCTTGAAACCCTGGCTCTCCGAGAACCCCCGACCCCTGCATATCATGCCATGCCATGCCATACGTACATTTTTAGCACTCGCACTCGACGCATCAGGCGAGGTAACGGGAGAACAGAACAGCTGAAGCAGCGACTTCCTGCCTCTCGCACAAAGCCGCACCCTGATCATCACGATCTCTCTCAAAACTCTGCCAGTCGGTTTCACCGGCTATCAGTACCGATCGAGCAACGGCCAAAGCTTTCCACATTCTACTTTGCAGCTGCCAGTGTCCAGCCCAGTGCGAGCTATGTGTAAGCCCGCACCGGTATAGGACAACATAAAGCCACGGAGCAAAAGCCTACCCCTGTCAGTCCCTGGTCAGAAAGTAAAGGCAGCACACAAGTCGGCTCGCACACTCGCACCAGCAGGTATGCGACCCTGACCAGCACACGGCCATAGACTCGCCAGTCCAAGCAGCTAGCGTTTCCACATCGTCTCTCGCAAGAAGTCACGTCCCACAGAGCTCGTCCAGCTAGGCCAGGCTCGAGCAACTACGACAGGCAGGCCACGAGCTGTGGCACGCTTGCAGCTGTCGCATCAGGACGCATAGGAATTCCAGCTGGGATGGCTGCTGAGGAAATCTTGCACCCTTCCATAGATTGCACTCAGAGTTGGGGTACATCCCCCCCAGTACCAGCATCACCATCCAGGAACAGTCGTTCGTCTGTAGTCCTGCAGGTTGGCCGTCGAGCTGTCAGCCCATGGATGCAGAGGCGCTGCCACCGGCGGTCATAAACCCCACCCGGCAACCAGAGCTGACGTTACCTAGTAACTTGTCTTTCGTCTCACCACGGTCCCAGCAGGTCTGCACTCATTCGGCTGTACCAGGAAGCACAGCAGCAGCTTCTTGCAAGTGCTGGGTACATGCAAGTATGTATGCATGCATGCATGCATGCATGAATGTGCATGTCACCGTGTCTATATAAGCTGTAGACGCGGCTCCCAGAGGCTCACGAAGCCGTTCTCGTTCAGGTCCAACTCTTCCCACAGCTCCCGGGGATTCCCCGGGTACCCCACATCCTGCATCAAGTGTGCTTGCTAAGGGGGCTTTGGATGTTCAGGCAGCCAAGATGTGGGAATTGGGGTGATTTAGGGTTTCGGCGCTCGCACCGGACAATCCAGGCGAGTCATGTTGTTCGAGGTCATGCTCAAGTGAAACATCCAATCACAAGGTTTCGACTCACACACTCGCAAAACAAGGTTTAGGGTTTAAGGGCTCCTTATATCTTGCAGGAGGTGTTCTGCGTAAGGGCTTTTGGCGGTTCGTTGTGGGATTTGGTTTAATAGTAGCTCGATGCGGTTTGAGCGGGCTTAGGTTTCACGATGGGTTGGTTCTCCCAGTATGCGAAAAGATGTTACGGTTCCTGCGCGGGTTTGGGTGATAGGTCTTTCAACATTTGGTAGGGTCTTCTAACACGGGGCTTCAGGGTTTGTAGGGGTTTGGGTTTTGCGCTTCGGGTATTCGGGGTTTGGGGGCAAGAAGGGCTTTAGCGCGGTTCAGGGTTTCCAGTGATTCTAGTGTTTCCGCAAAAGGGTTTTTTTGGGCTTTTGGGGATCTGGGGCAAGGCTTTGTTGATACCTACGCTCTTGGAGCGACAGCGGCACAGTGCTTGGGATTCAGCGATTCCGGTTCAAGGCTTAGGCCTTCTGGGCTTCGAATGGTCAAGGGGACCCGAGGGCACTGCCGCCTTTCTTTGATCGGCTGGGGGTGGAAGTTACGGTGGGCCTGCGGGGGCTTGGCGGTGAAGTGACTTCACATACCTTTACTCGCAGTGCGAGGGCGTGAGCACGACCTTGGCTAGGGTTGAAAGGTTCGGGCTTGAGAGTGGCTTGAGGCGTAGGCTTAGGGGCTAGGACACGTAGGTTTTGAAATGTTAATTAAGGTAGTTCCTGAACCCGCAACCTGAACTCATGTCTGCAGCGTCTCATCGTGTTGTTCAAGCAGTGTTTGTGGTTTGGGTGTTCTCGGCAGCCGAATCCTCAACCCCCCTTCTGAAGCGGAAGGGCCTTCACGGCTGTGCTGAACTCCTCAGATGCGCGGAAAACAACACAGATCATCCGTCAGAAATGCATCCCATCCGGCTTGACAACCTGCATGTCCAATCCACATTACTTGGGACAACTCCAAAATGTTGAATCCAAATACCAAACCCAACCCAAAGACCTTAACTGCACCGATCATTGAAAAAAGTCTCGTGATAGTCCAGCTTGTGGTTGTGGTCTCGGTCTAGTCCCTCCCGCCATGCCCGAACAAAGTTGCCTGGGCATTGGCACTGCAGACCTAAA